GTAGTAGTAGGAGGAGCAGCAGCAGCAGCAACAGCAGCAGCAGTAAGCGTAGCAGTGTAGTAGCAGCTGCAGTGGAGAAGCACTACTAAAGTATGCTTGAAACCTTGGATACGGGCGGCCGATACGGGATGACTTAGGCTACATGATCCCTGGTGATGGCTGTCCTTTTCCCCTCTTCGGTGTGCTCTGCTAGGCGCAAGAAGGATGTAGATGCCGGTTCCCAGCGTCCACAATCCAAGCGCAGCCCAAACAGAAGGGAGTGTTGAGGCCCAGGTGTCCCGACACCCCTGACTGCCGGAGGCTTCCGTGGCAAAAGCGCGCCCTTCAACTGGAACTGCTAAACATGGCCTCGCCGGATCTCGAGCGCTTGCGCGTGGGGGCTTCGAAAGACCATGCGAAAAGTGTCACCATCCACGCAGCGGCGGACTCGAAGAACATTTGAATGTGAATTCGAAGGTTCTCCGGAAGCTTTGCTTCTTTTAGAAGCGCCTGCTGCCACCTGTGCCAGCTGCTGGTCGGTGGAAAAAGTCCCGGTAGGAAATTAGCAAGAAAGCCAAAATTCACATATCCGCTCTTCGGATTGACGTGTTGCAAGCCGCGCACTTGCATAAATATCATTGTCCCATGAGCCAAAGATCATTTTAAACGAACCTGGCCCATGCCACAAGCGCCATGGTCAATGAAGCAGCGCCGCTCGAACTGATGCCTGCAGCATTGAGGTGAAAAGGAGGGATGCTGGATCTGCACATAAACTGCATACTCGACTGCTGAACTCAGGCATGCACTGCAACATTCCTCGTTCTAACATGTGGTCACTGCATGATGCAGGCAGATGCCAATGTACATGTTGGTACACGCATGTACATGGTCTAAGAAACAAAAACAAGACTGATCGTGACGAGAGGATGTCTTCCAGGTTTTGTGTGACCATCTGGACACGGTCGAGCAGCTTCCAGACAGTCCCTCCTCTGCTGTCGATGTGGTTGTGGGCGAAGTCGATGCCTTAATCTTGGTAGCACCTAGAAGTAGTCGCCATGGAAGCAGTAACGGTATTCGTGGTGAGTGTGTGTGCGCAGTGCTGACCAACGACCCGTCATGAAGACCATCCGAAGATTGCATAACGGAATGCAACAAGGTCACGTAATGGAATCTTTCGTCATGCTGGTACTCCTCATTCATTTCTAGTTAGTGCAAAAGCACACAGAACGAAACGACACGGAACGTTGTGCAGTACAAGTGTCATCTAACCTAATGCAACATAGCATTCCATTGCGGCAAATGCAAACACAACAGTCCAACACAGCGGGCTGTAGCCCTGACTAGTTCGCATGTAGTACCATGTAGGCAATAGCACAACCCGACAGCTGCCCTTAACATTCGCCATCATGTTCTAGCATGAAATTTTCGGGTGGTGAGTAGAGAAGCTTGACAGAACACTTTTGTAGGCACAAAGAATGACTCCAGCACTGTATTCATCTGGTAGCACTTGAGCTGAAGGATTTTCAAGGCATGGCTCATCTCCAGCGATGTTCGATGTGGTGCTGGTTGTCGTTGCTGAGGTCGGCGCTGACCTGTGCACTCACATGCACAGAAGATTCTCCCAAGTATGCTTGCCACACGGCTGCATCATCATGCATGGACATCGGTTCGGAAGCACATGTGCAGCTCAACCACCCGACCATCACATCGCAAAACTAGGACACCACCCTACATGATGTACACAAACCATCTGCCAGCCCTCTGTGGGAAAAACTTCTCACATTCGAAATGCTGCAGCTTGCCGCCCAGATGCGTGCAAGTACCGCATGAGAGCGGGCCTTCGAAATTCATTTGACAGCGATGTGAGCCGTTGAGGCTTGGAATTCTTTTTCGGGGGTCTATGCTGCAGCATCCTGTGGGCTTAGTGTGTGCGTGTGAAGCATGCAAACCTTTGAAAGCTTTGAGGGGGATCAGGCGCACATCTTGGCCCTCCTAGCTCCACCACATTGCTCAGAAGATCAGAGGAAGCAACCGAATTCCCCATACATTCTAATCCTAATGCAGACCAAGGAACAGTGCTTCAACACCATGTCTTCGACAACTTGCTCATAGCCTCAGTCCGTTCTCGACGAACAACCTCTGCGAACACGTCAGGCCTTCGACTGAGAGCCCCAAAAGACAGCTTCCCAAACAGCAATCTCGATGTAAGTGCTGAGAGAAGCGGCCGAAGACTTCCTGAGAGCAATCGTATATCGCAGTAGCATCAATTTTTGGCAGACATCATCATTTAGGGTACGGCAAGTAGCGAAAAGCAGCAGAGTAAGGAGAGCAGTAGCAGCAACAGAGGTGGGGCCCAAAAGCAGTACAAGGCAGAGGGCAGAGCACCAAGGCAGGACAAGCGAAAGGCAATGCAAAAGGGCAAAGGCACAGCCCCAAAAACAGTTCAGGGCAGTGCAGGGGCAGGCAATGCAGGAAAGGTCGGGATCAGTCTCACATCTCTTGTCTGTCTCACAACCAGCGTGAACTCTCTCTTGAGGTGTGACATGTAGATGCTGATGTTCGCAGCCCACCATATAGTCCACAAACAGATGACAAGGAGCATCCAATCCATGTCTTCATATCTCTCGGACATGAGCCGAGAGAGTCTGTGTCATGATGCGACGACTGCCCATTGCAAGCTCCAAGTGTCTACAGCCTGCGTGCAGTCGTAACAATTCCTTCGTGGACAAGGGTGAAGTCGGCTTGCTTCCACGCAATTGCTTGACACGGATTTGTAATTCGTCTGTCCACGCAGCAGCATGCCCAAGAAAGCAGAATACGAATTCTTTAGGAATGTGCTGCCTACGATGACTGCGGGGGATGGATGCTCAGACTGTTGCAAGACACGTATGGATCAGCATTGCAACTCGCTTCACGTGTGGACCAGTTGCCGGAAGGAAACGACCCTGTAACACTCCAACGCGACAGTATAAACATCCTTTTGTGTGTGCGCTCGCGTCATCGCTGCGAGTACACGAACGGGAACGTGTACACATGTTTGTATATATACATATATTTATATGCATGCATGCATACATACATACATACATACAGTCATACAAACATACATAGCAGCTATGTGTAGATGTGTGTGTGTGACAGAGCATCTATGCATAATGTGTGTATGCTATGTGGGCATGTGTTTGCTTGTATTCATGTTTACGCGGATGCTTGTATGCACATTATATGCAAAGCCGAGGCACCACCCATCGCATCGGTATCCTCAGCTTCGCAATTGCGGCAATATAATTGGCTAGTGCACGCTATCATGCATGGATGCTTGATTGTTTTAGAGGTGTGCCAATATGCAAATGCTCCCGTTACGGCCACACAAACAAATCGAGTCCTTGCCTTTCAAACGCCACCAAACACTAATTGAGCAAAATTCTTTCACCGCTAACCTCCTGGGCACTGCATCCAGAACTACAACTGACCGCCCCAACTAGTCTCAGCAGAACCCAGCCCGGAGAGCGGTCCACTCAGTTAGTGTTTGTCAACTTCCCAAAATCAAGGGAACCAATCAAAAGACTGGAAAGGACTGCGATATTTACGGAAGTTATATCACAAAAATAAGTGTGGAAGATGGCTGCAACCGAGCCCAGGCCCACTCTTGTGGATTCCAACTCTTAGAACGTATCTCATTCCTGGCAAGCTGGTCGACGATGGTTTCCTAGCCACATCTAGCCACGCATATACACACACACACACGCACATTCAAACAAACCACCTGCTTGTACATAGACATATATTACCGAAGCAGCAGCAGCAGCAGCAGCTTCCGCACAGCAACGACCCAAAATCTGAGCAAACCACAAAGTGTAGATCCCACGATGCTTATGTTGGCAGCTCGCAGCACGTTCATAATTCCGTAACTGCCGATAAGACCACACAAATGTACCTACATACCTACCTACCTACCTACCTACCTACCTGCAGGGCTGCCACCACCCTCACCCCGCACCCCATGATATCCCCGTGGGGGCTGTGGTGATACCCTTGCCCCACATCCCCGTCCCGCCCCTGTGGTTCCGTTGTTTGTGGTGGGCTCTGCACCCACCTTAGCTGAGGCTTCGGTTGGCCTGAACTGGAGTACGCAACACGTGCAACACAAGGACTTCTTGCCACGATTAGTGACTCAACTATTGTTACGCGGAACTTTAAGAGCACTTGTTCTGATCTTCTCCACCAACATTCATGTCTACAATTGCAGTTGCTATGATCGTGCGGCCCGCATCCGCCGTTCTTGAAGTTCTCATGTGTTACTCTGTATCTTCCCTCTTGCTGTGGCACTGGTCATACTGCTCAAGATTTTGTGCTGCTCTAGACGGCGACGCGAGTCGACAATCGGATCATCTGTGACATCGTGCTCAACATCATCATTGTCGTCGTCATCTTCATCATCAGTACCAAAAGAATAGCTGCCACCATCACCATCGCCATACAATCCTCATAATTAAGCAACTACTGCGCAAATTGCAGCTTTCTGCACAAGGGAAGGGTGGGGTACCATTGGGGGTGGGGGGGGGAGGGAAAGCGGCACCCCCAATCCGCACAGCAGGTTAAGGCAGGGGTGTAGGGCCCGGGACCCGAGAGCATACATTTCAGTACTTACTACGTATTTACTCACCTGCTTTCCTGGTTGCTTGCGTACATAAATACTTTCCAGACTATTTGCAGCAAGAGTCGACGAAAGAAGGCGTCTGTCAATAGTTATGTCGATGACACAACCGTACGACAGCGGCTAACTGCTAACTAGTAGAAACAAAAGAGAACAGCGACAACGACGGAGAAGTCGAGGAGAGGACGACTGCTATCAAAACAACCGTAGTAGCTTTTCCACAGAAAGCCAGAGCAAAACAAACAAGACTCTAGCAGCATAGCAATGGCCACAACAACAGCGACTAGCACTGCGCGGCTGCAACACTGCTGTTGAACCCGAGCAGCCATATGGATCCTTGAAGTACGCTGTGTCTGTGCAGTCCCCACCTTAGTTCATGGAAATCATGATGCCGTTGCAAATAGTGGCGAGCATGGACAACTTTGCAGCTCACATAGCAGCCAGGTGAGGTGCAGCAGTGTATACATTCACACACTTTTGGGGCCCGGGGCGTGCCCGTACCTAGACCTAGGCTGCATTATGCCATTATGCCCGGCTCTGCGATATGCCCCGATAAACCGTTTACATCGCGCCTTCCTCGGGCCCAGCCAGCCCCCTCTGCTCGGAACGCGCTTCAACGAACTCTCGGCACCCCGAAAAGCTAGTGCCAGCCGCTTCAACTAAGCCATAAACCTGCAACCCCACGCATCCCTGAAATCATGGGTTTCGACCTTCACTGATGACAGGAATGATGGGTTTCAGGTAGTTTCGGTTGATTTAGGATGACACCGTAAGCCGGATCGGAAGCAAAAGCGCTTCTCTTCGGCCCAGTTAACGTCAGGTCCGAGAACTTCCGCCCGTGATCCAAGGAGGAGCGCTTGCATAAAATTCGATATCCGTATCCCTTGATTGGAGGCTCTAGAGGACTCTAGAACAAGGCTCCAGACATACTCGGGGGTTCATGCTATGGTCCCCTAAAAGCTCATCATCTCCAACTGCTCAGACCTCAAGTCAAGTCTTGCATGCGGTCTTTACTACGGTGCCCTTTGTCTCAAAATTTGAAATCCTCCGCCGAGTCTCCACCACGGCAGATGCCACAGCTGAAGGGGCAGTTTTCTATAAGCTCCGCCATCTGATCGGAGCCTGGGGACATCTGCAAAATTTAGCTCAACATCGCGATTTTCTACACAGTTTTACTATCAACAAGTTAGTGTGACCATCATAAACCTGATCTACAGGTGCATCAGGAAGATGATTGGGAAGAAAGCTTGCCCGCCCAACTGCAGTACTTCTCGTCAAGCTGCTGTAGCCGTAATCGGCTACCGCCGTGGTGCAGTCAAAACCTGGACATCCAGGAAAGTCTGAAGGCACTGGCGGCATCTTGAAGCCGTGCCTGCTTGGACTGAACGGTTGAGTTTGTCCGGAACATGTCAAGAGTAACTAGGCGACCCAATCGAAAATCGGAGTTGCAGGGAGCTCCAGCCCGGCCTGTCCATTGAGTACACGCATGTCCTGACACTACAATCACTCGCATGCTTCGTCACGTCCAGTCTAGTGATGACAGCCGAGTCTGTCGCCAGAAGAACCTTCATGGCAGAAGCAGCTACTCACCGCCTCGGCCACTCGTGAACCCGACGGTGTCACAGCAGCTGCTGTTCGTCGCCTCCCGATGCCACTGATCAGACAGATTCTGACAGGTTTATGGCTTGCCTCAAACGCTGAGGACTGAGCTCTGCAGCATTTGCTGCCAAAGCTCACATGCCTACTCTGATGCAACTGCTGCAATCAGTCACCGTGCGCGATGCAGGCCTCGCAAATAGGGCAACGCATACAGCTTGCTTTGCATTTGTCCATCAAATCCGCCTCAGTAGCGACTGCCCTGCCCAGAAGAGGCAACAGATCAGAACTCATCAGCCTTTCCTCTGCCTCACATCGATACCAACAGCTTCCAGCCATGGAGCCCTCTCCTGGTAGGGCAGCTGGGTCTCATCGCAAGCCTGGTTGCTGGAGATTTGGCGATGATACCCGTTCGGCACTCTTCCACAAATCTCACAAAACCCTTCGAGCCAGCTGCTTCGAGGGACAACCCGAGGCCGTCATGCTTCGAAAGATAACAGTTTGTTGCACTAACGATAGGCTGATGGGCAGAAGACGGCAGAAGTGGTAATGCAGCGTCGGCATCGTCGGCTTCAATAACTTCAACAGTAACCATCTGGTAACCATGAAAAGAATGGGCACTCGAGTTCTGATGCTGCAGCCTTGGTGCATAGTTCTTCCAGGTCCTGCAGCAGCGGTGGGATCCGAAAAGTTGCGGGGTAGAGAACCGTGCAAATATCGGGGTGAACCAGGGAAGGAAGGCACCTCACTTCCTGATTATCTGCCTTCCACAGTAAGCTCTTCGTTGAAGAATGCGCAAGGACACCTGGGTGTCAGACCATGATGAAAACACCTATGTCAGTCAGTCCAGCATTCTTCGTTCCAGCGATCTTTGTATTCTGCGTCGTCGCAGCCTTGACGAGGCATATGCAACCAAAGCAACGGCAACGGAGAATATTGCTAATCTTACATTCTATTTTGGTATAGTATATGTTCGCATACCATCGCGTATTATGTTGTTTTATTTTTTTGCCATATTATACAGACTGCAATATATTTTCTAAGTTATCTCAGTCTACGCTATTCTATGATGTGTTATTGTGGCGAAATCAGGCCGAGCGTCATGAGCCGTGGCAGTACGGCGGGACCATCATGTGATCAGCTGGTGGTGAATTCAGGACACTGTTGATCCAGTCCAGGAAGGTGTGCCTAGGCAACAGAAAGGCTACTAGGCACTACCGTCTCTTTCAGGTCAGTGAGAAGCGGAAAAAAACCGTAAACCCTACACCCAAAACCCTAAAAGGCCCTCTCTGCTGGTCGGAAGGCACTCGCGTGAATACATCGCGGCCGGCTGCAGTGTAGGAAACGACCCCAACCTGTATCAACTGGTCGCTTTCCTGAGATACAGATGGCGGTTTAGGTTTTTTAAACGTCCATTTTCCACTCGCAACTGCTGGATCACAGCTGACTTCAGTGAAACCAAGAGTGAATCTCAGCAAAACACCCCCAATACACTACACCCTGCTACTGGTAATTGAGAATTAGACTCACATGCAGCCCCTCGGGTTTCGACTCACACACTCGCACAACACAGGCATGGCTCCTCGGCTTTAGGGTTTAGGTAGGTAGGCGGCCTGTTTCAGTCAGCATCTACCGTCTTGGGATGTCTTGGGTTCACTGTCACTGGACAGCCGGCCATGCAAAAGAACGGTTGCAGCCTGAGTGTCCATCACGAACAAAGGCCCGCCACTGTCCCCACAGCCAGCACCTGCCACATCCTGGCAAGAACATGACGTGCAACTTACTGGCACGTATGTTCTAGCTCCCTTGAAGTGGCACGTGAAAACCGCGTCCTCATGCAGCAGGTATCGAGGCTGGTAAAACTGGCGCCCAATCCACCGGTCTTCCAAAACAATCGAAACATTGAATTGGCGAGGATCCTTGTCTGTGGCGTTGATGTGCTCTGCGCAGATGAGCTTAGTCCAGTTGAAGAACCTCGCCGAAGATCCCACCGTAACACTACCGTAACACGGTTCTGTCTGTGTGTCTTGGCATTGCTCCAGAAATCTAGATTCCTCAACGAGTCAGGCAAGCACCGCGCTGTAACAGCAATCAGCACAGCTGTATCTTTCGTCCAGCACCCTTCCCGTCACCCTGAGTTGAATCACGATCGGTGCTTGTCGTCAAAGCAGTTTTTAAGCAGATGCATTGAAAACTGGCATTGGCAGCATGATCACCCGTCCATTTCTGACGCGCTGGCGTCGTTCGTGTCTCGTTTTGCAATTCCCTTTGAAGGTCCTGCGATGCTTGCAGCTGCTCTACAACAAGCTTTTTTGGCAAAGAAGCTGGCCGGCTTGCGCACAGGGCGCACGGTCCACAATGTGAGAATCACCCTCCTTGAGGATGAACTCATACCTGGGCCAGGAAACCCAGCAAAGCTCAACGTGCAAATAACTCTGGCCGCCTCGAGATCTCAAAGTTGCCTACTTATCACACTGTGACACATGCATGGAAGAAACCCCGTCAGAACAACTACCTTCTTCCGTACACCCAACGAGCGTCCTTGTGCAAAACCAATCTCGCGCGAACAAACAAGCACCAGCCATTTGCATCGCCAGACATCTGCGCTTGCTTCACCCACTATCAGACGCTCTCCACGCGCAACCCAAACGTGGGTACCTCAGGATGTTGTCCCCCCTGTAATGTGTGATGATAGTGACGACGAAGATTATCACGACGAAGGTGGTTGTGCCGATGGCCAGAACGATTATGGCGATGACAGCAATAACAAGACAGTGATGCTGCACTCTGCGATGGCCGTTGTCTGGATGGCCTGGTTTTGCCACATGCTGCGTTGGAATTCAGATCGGTGCCGCGATCATCGTCATCACGGCACCGGGTCTTCAGACGGAACTTTTGCGAGCGGGAGTCTGCTGGCATGCCTCGTCAATGCTTCCCCATCCAGCGAGGAGTGCCTTCGGAGGTGAAGATCCGCAAGGTCTAAGCCACAAGGATTCAAACAACCTTGTCGGAACCTTTGCCTAGGCGGCTTAAGCCTACAGGCAGGCAGTTACTCGGCGCTGGGCAACACAGATTTCAAGACTTGTAATCATGGGCAAGTGTAAAGTGGACATGTTCTGCCTCCTGATTTGCTGGCGATGCAGAGCACATGGTCAATTGGAGCAGACGAGGCCACCCATGAAGATTCCAAATACCAACTCCTTCCCGATCCTCGTGCTAGGATAGCAAAATCAAATGTCCAAGCGGAGGATCTGCCTGCGATCCATTGTGGCGGGTGTCGGAACTCTCCAGCCTGCCACCACACGGAATTGGAAACTAGATAATCTGTATGTCACATGATGTCACATGTAGGTATGTGTGTACGTACGTATGTGTGTATTATATGCATGCATCTATATACCCATGCACGCATGCAGCCATTTGGTCCATCTACGTTAAGTATCATCTGCGCACGTGGGTGTGTGCGTGTGTGCACATGCATATGTGTATATGCACGTGCTCTGCGGCTTTGCGAAACAAGAATTGCATGCATGCTTAGTGCATACGAACCTTTCGCGGCATTCTTTGCATGGGCCTGCAGGGTTGTCTTGCGGATTCTCTCGCGACTTTGATTGAGATTCTCTCACTCAAAACAAAAAGAAATCCGCGCACGTACTCGCATGCACAGTCGGTCCACAAAAAGGCGCGCAACTGCCCAGAAAGATAGCACCCAAGCATCAGTTCATGTGTTGACATTTACGCATACACGCAAAAAAAAACAACATGCAAAGGCGTGTGAGCTGCTTAATTCTCGCTGCTCCTGTTGATGTATGTCTTCGTGTTGTTGTTGTTGTTGCTGCTGCCGCTGGTATGTTTGCTTCTGCTGCTTCTGCTGCTGCTGCTGCTGCTGCTGCTGCTGCTGCTGCTGGCCGCCGCCGCCGCCGCTGTTGTTGTCGTTGTTGATTTCGTTGTTGCCATTGTGTATCGATTCTCACACTCACAACAGGCAGGCAAGGCTCCATTCAGGTTTCTATTTTGTGATTATGAAAATAGTATACGTTGTAGATATAAAACTATGTAATCTACATATATTCTATTGTGTGCTGTGCATTCTGCGTCATGTAGTTATGTAAGGAAATATAGTCTGTGTATGACACGTCTCGTATTACATGAATAGCTCTTTCAGGCAAGCAGCTGTACCAGCGGGACACTTGGGAGCGATTCGGAAAGTCGAAGCAAAGCCTTCGCTGTCGCGGCGCTGCGAAGCGCGTGCACAAAAAAGTGTCTTAGGTGGAATAAGTGTAATAATGGGGATTTTTGCCTCGGGGCTCCCTTGGACTATAAGGGTACCTTATTTAGGGTCGGTAAGTTTAACATAAGGGTTTGGAGCTTTATGGTTCGATTCCAAACTAGCGGTAACTAACGGATGAGACTTTGAACCCGAGGATTTGTGCCCAGGAATCGGCCGAATACTCACATTCTGAGACCGAAGCAAGCTCGCAAGTGCAACCTCGATATACCTCGATCGTTGTAAACTCAGGAGTGTGTTATTACAGACGGCTTTGGCAGACGCGGATGCAGGAGGGTAGAAAGTGCTGCCCTACCTGTCTACAATCATTGGTGACGTATGGCTCCGGCCGAACGAGCTGCAGCCAGGTATTGGGATTGTACAACCGTGCCCACCAGGCTTGAAGAATGATGCTGCATGCAAGACGAAGGGTCGATATCATTGTCCAGGCTGTCCATGTCATACCCGGGGTGCACCACCTCAGAGCAGCAGGCAGCCTCGAGCCGAGCCTTGTGCTACCGACCATGGAGGAACATGGCCGTCGGCTTCCGTCATAGATCTGTCATCTGTCTGTGTGCGTACGACCCATATCGATTGAGAAAGCCGCTAGTCAGCCAGCCATTCTGGATGTGCAAGGCCGGCTTGCATCACTGGAGCCGCTACATCTCACACTCTCAAACAAATCGATGTGTTGCAAGAGCAAAGAGTCCCTTAGTCGGCCATTGCCAGCCTAAGTCCTAAGTATGAAGCACAAGGTTGATCGTGGAGTTCACATGCATGGTGGGCAGCTCTCGGCATGGCACTTGAACATGCGGATGGTCCGCGTCCCGGGCATGTGCTGTGCGACGAAAGCTGCGGCCAGGCAACCATCAAGTCGATGCTCTTCTTGTTCCAGGAATCTTGAGTCCTGGAAGCCAAAGACCAAACCTCCCAGGGCCCAGGGTCTTTGTGTTTGGGACTGAAGCTTGCCGAAGACCGTGCCGCCATGCCTGAGAATGCCAATCCCCTGCTCCCCTAGCGCACCTCCGCAAAAAGCCTTCCCAGGCCCACACCATGCATCCCCATGCAAACCACTGTGCAGGAGGCGCCTCGTAGGCTTGGACTGAGCTCTTCGCAGTTCCGAAGCAATGAGCCGCAGTCAGCACCCAGCGATCTCGAATTAAGGTCCTGCTGCTGGTTTGTGATATGTGAAAGCACCACCTTTTGCAACATGTCAGCAGCGCTTCCAAACCCCTCCCCCCAGGCGGTCCCTCCGCAGATGTGGGTCGAGCTGCTCGCAAACTGCAATGAGACCAAGTAGGGGAAGACATCTGCAAATCGACTCCAGTCCACTTGTCCTAGCACGCGAAACGATGGAGGCTGGTTCCACAAAGCCCAAATGATGATGATGCAGGTCATCAGGCACGGGTCTGCGATGAAAGGATACGCGGGGCCGTGCTGAGTAAGTCCCGACGGCAGACAGGGAAACACACCCCTGCGTGTCTCTCTGTTCACCAAGCGGCTGTCCGAGCCGTCATAGCCTCGGGCACTGCATTGACTCCAGGGCTCCAGGCAGCAACGGACAAGGCATAGAATCTCGGCGCCAGGCTGTAAACCAGGCGCCTTTCGTCGTCCACCGCCAAGCCGCACACACAGAGGCCCAGGAGCAACGAGAGCCCACGAGGCATCTCCCGAGATGCCCTCTGCTGCTCGCGCAGTGGAGCTTTGAGCCTAACTTCCTGGAGAAAGAGATCCGAAGATCAGAAAAAGAACTTGATCGAAAGTTTCTCGACATGTCCCTCACACAGGGACGTGGAGCGCACTTTGGAGGTGACTCCTACACACTAAGGGATCATGCGCTGAACTCTTTTTGACCGCTGCTATTGCACAGCACTTGACCGTTGGGTGCCAGAAGTGCCTGCTGCTTGGTGGCTCCCTATGCAGCAAATCCGCAAGAGTGACAAGCAGAAGACTAGTGACTAGTGACAGGTTGGCCAAGTCTACAGTGGCCTCACTGCTGAAGTTGATGACGCTTCGCTGCAGAAGGTGGCCATACACATGCAAGCGGGAGAAGTAAAAAAATCCTCAAACTTCAAGGGGGGAAGCTGACCTTTCGTGGTGCTGGTGGCAGGCCAGCCGGGGCTGGAACCAAAATCCAACGCACAACGAGCGCGTCCAGAACGGACCGGAGTGTGCTTGTCTGCGCTAAGTGTTCAACAACGTCCTTCGTCATGATCAGCAACTGCTGTCGATTCTGGCTCCACAGTTCGAGCACAATTCGCTGCAGAAATGTGCGTGTGAAAGCTGATGCTTGCAGCTACAATACGGGTGGAGATTTTTTTTTGGCCTCTTTTTTTTTGCCTTCTTTTTTTTTTGGGGGTGCCTGGCTTTTCTTCTTTCCTAGGAACAGGGGGGCAGGGA